TCTGGCCAGACGAAACCAGCAGTTCAATTCCAGGCTGCAGCAAAGTCAGATTGTGCAGAGGACTCAACTGGCTCCTGTGGTCTTGTCCCGGTGGCCGTCTGAGACAAGGTCTTTACTGGGGATCTGTATCTGGGGCTTATCTAGTTGTCCTGGTCTCTGCTGACTTTCAGGGCTGTATATTGCTATTTATTGTTATTTATTGCTGTTTTATTTATTGCTCCTGATGTACGGTGACCTTGAGTGATTTGAAAGGCACCTTAAATTAAATGTATTATTATTATTATTATCATTATTAAAAAAGAAAATTCTATAATCATTGTTTGTTCCAAATCTGTATGATATTCTTTCTTCTGTTGAACACAAAAGAAGATATTGTGAAGAATGTTGGCAACCAAGGTGTGCTGACCAAACTGGTACCCACTGACTTCCATAAGTAAAAAAAATAAAAAATAAAATAAAATACTATGGCTTCACTGTAAAAATGTAAAAATCAATAGAAAAATGGATAATGTCCTGACAGAAAATTACCAGTACATTTTCCGTTAAATTTAAGGTTTCCTTCAAACCTAAAACACAGCAAAAATGCAATGCATAATTCAAAATATAACACCTGTAAAAATCAATACAGAAAGATCCTTCATATTGACACAGTAAACTGAGCAGTATTTTTACAGACTTTTCTTAGAGCGTACTAGCAACTGAACAATCTTCCTTCTAGAATGGGCACACTGGACCTAGGAGCAGTTGAAGAAGGTCAGCTGGTCTGATGAGTCCTGTTTTCTCTTGCATCACGTGGACGCCCGATCTGCTGCTAATGTTTAGGTGCTTGACACCATAGGACACCACTTGAAGGGTCCATGACTCAGCGAGTCAGTGCTGAGAACTATTTTGGCAGCAAAAGAACGAATTACTGTAATAGTTAAACACCTAACATATTTGAACATATTTCGATTTCTAACATAATGAAACCTAACAGGCTGTAAATATAGAGTTAAATCTAACCATCACTCACTGAGGTTTTTTTTTAACATATTTGTAATATATATATATACTGTACACATATATATATTTATATATTTGTCAACAAAATAAATATGTACATTTCAATCATATTCATATGCATTTTGTGACAATTTTGATTCTGAGTTTTTTGACTGAGAGAGCAATACAAATAATGAGGGCATAAAGTGTATTGCATAGGAACCTGTGTGTAACACATCCTGCACTATTTGTGTTATAGTTATATTTATAAAACAGCAGAAGCCTATAGTATGTCCTCATTAAGGTAACTAAGCATGTGTGCGTGTGGTCCAGGTAAACCCTACATTACAGTATGTCTCCACAAGTATAGTAAAACCTTAAATTTTTGACCTTGTTGGTTTATAATCCTTGTGGAGCTTCTAATTTTTTTTTTGAAAGTGTAAAAGTTTTCTGTGAGGGTTGTGTTTAGGGCATAAAATAGTTTGTATGGCAGAAAAATCATTATATCTATGGGAAGTCTCCACAAAACATGAAAACCCAACGTGTGTGTGTGTGTGTGTATTTAACCTCAGGTTACTCAAGGGGAACTGTCACTGTAATAAGTTCACTGTACATCACCATGGAGAAACCAGTAAATAACTTACTTTCTCACAAAATATAATGTGACCATGAAATTACATGCATAAAACATGTAAAATGAAAATGAAATTCCTTCACATCTGCTCCAACTCATCCATAAAATAGTGAATTAAAATGTTAAATTTATCACTACTAACATGATAGATAACTAATAAATCATAGCTTTGCACAATTTGTATTTGTTAAAAAAGTTAGAAACATATAAATTAAGAACAACAGCATGAAACAGTTTTAATTCTGAATGGCTGATTTCTGACAGAAAGCAAGATAAAGATGGAATGACAGAAGGTAATGCATTCTTAGCAGGAGCTTGTTGCTCGTGCAGTGCCCTTTTGATAACTGATCTGACCCACAGCAGACTTACGCTAATAGACTGTGACAAGTCTCTTTCCATTCTAATCCACAGACCGTAATCCACATAGGCTAATGAACTATTAGTTTGAATTTCAGATGGACTATAAACTCCTCCTAACCCGCCTCACTTATTTTCAGAGTGAGAGTGAAACTTGGGAGGGAGAGAAAGAATGAGGCAAGCCATTGAATGATGTTATCTGGAGGCAAGGAGTTTTACAATGCTTGCTGAAGGAGAGAAGGTTTTATCTGGTCTGTGGAGTTTTGAAACCAAGGGACCCATCCTTTGGAGCTTTTAATCCACAATTCTTTGTCACAGGGATTCTACAAAAGGGAAAGTTTCAAAAATAAAGGTAGGGACATTAAAGACTAATTATTTACATTAGTGTGATGAAAATATTTTGTGTTTGTGTGTGTATATTGAGCAGGCATGGCTGCAAGACTTGGTCTTAATATTGGTAGAGACATATCAAACGATGCAGATGCATGGGGGTTTTATGCTTGTACAGTGAAATTGCAGAGTTTTGTTTTGTTTTTACACTGTGTAAGTATATGTTCTCTTTTGTCTTTTGTACAATGATTGAAAAATTCTGACATTACCAAATGTGTAAATAAGGCCTTTAACAATAAATAGCTAAGAAACATACAAATAAATAGACACAGAAACATGCAATAGTAGATTATTCTCTCTTAACTTTTATAGGGAGATGTCCCTAAATACCTTTACCTAAACTTATAATACAATCAACATTATTTAATGATAAATATTATTCTTCTTATTAATAATAATAATAATAAAAAAATATTATTATAAAATCACATTTTTGCTGTTGTTCATTGTGGATTTTTCCTGTCAGAGTATATATACTAATAATGTTATTTTTGACTCATTTTTTTGGTCCCCATGAGGAAACAAGCGTATAAATCATATAGAATTAAATGTTTTGAAATTGCAGAAAGTTTTCTGTGAGAAAAATTGCAGTTTGTAAAGTATAAAAACCATTATGCCTATGGAATGTCCCCACAATAAATGGAAACCAGTATGTGTGTGTGTAAAATGCCACACACAGGAAGCAGTCTACTAGTTAAAATTGGAGCAGAATTCAGAATTTGCATTCAGTTTTTATTGATTTTTATTGTAGAATCTCACCAAACTTTGTACAACTGCACTTACAAAATACGTTGAACTTGTACTTTGATATATACCATTGTACTGAATGATTAAAATATTTGTGTACTATGGTAGGGCTGGGTCTACACAGTGATAAATATACAGCATAGCTTTATTTTACACCAAGCAGAACACTATCGTCTACTTTCCAAATTCACATGTTTCCAGTTTTTTTGTTGGCAGTTTTGTTGATTACAGTGGGAGTGTAGGTACTGAATAACTACCTACACTACTTACACAGGGGCGCAAAAATTGTGTATGCCGTATATGCAGTGCATAGGGGCCACCGCACGAGGGGAGGTGGAGGAATTTATCATGTGGGTACAGAAAAAGACAAAGGGAAAAAGAACAATACATTAAAATAAAGTGAACAAACAAAGATTGGTAGCTTGACCTAAGCTTACCCTTTTTTCGCTGTAAGTCATGAAGTCAATCAACAATTAATGTTGTTGCTTGAGAGGGCAAAATGAATAACCAAAATATCAGTTAATTTCCTTTTATTTCTGTCGCTCAAAAAAAAATTGTGTTATGTTTGTGAATGGGGGTTCAGTTAATATTCAGAGAAACTGAGGAGATTGTTAACAGGAATGTAAACTATACATTTTACCAAAAATCAATGTTTTGAATTAAAAATAGGTCATTTTTTTGTGTGATTCATGTAGACCCGATGAGTTGCTAATTCATACATAAGTACAAAAAAGTGCTGAAATTGTTTATGTTTTTAGTGATTTTTATAATGTGGAAATATAAATTCAAAGGCAAAACACATGAAAAAAGGACTACAGGCCTATAGGCCACTTCTAGTCCACTTCCAGGCACATTTTCCATGAATTATCTCTATGAATATAAAAAAGTTTTACATAAAATGTTCTAGTTTTATATAAAATATAGAAAAAATATGAATAATTTTGAGACAAATAAATAAAAAATACTAGAAATAAGAACATACGGGGGCGACAATACTGATCTTCCATACCCCTCAGCAAATATGCAGTTGTGCCCCTGTAGGTACATTGTAACTGTATTTTGTTAACAATGCAACTTAGTGCACCAACTAATGTACATTGTGTGCAACTGTCCACATATTGCTTATTTTATAATGGCTGCAAATGTTCCTCATGCAGCCTATAATGTAGATGTCATTATGTTTTTAAAGTATTTAAGGCACAAGAAGAAAAAATATTATAAATGTTACATAGTAATTGAACGCACTTTCAGGAACACTTAAAAAAAAGCTAAATATTTCTAATATAATATATATGAATTTCCAACATAAAATATATGAAAAAAACATATCATATATTTTATGTTGATAAGCCCAAAAATCTGAAAACAAAATTGGCAATCAATTGTGTGTGCATTAATTAAGAATGCTTGCTTTGTGTCTGTAAGAATTGTAGCAGCTTTCCTCCTAATCCAGCATAATCTGTGGAGATAATCTGAGCGGCAACAATGATATTCTGGAGGTGTAGTGTCTGTTTGTGTCACAACCCATAATCTCTGGGCTCATCTCACAAGGCTTAGAAGGTCATGTGTGTTTAATATTCTTGGATAACATTTAAATGTTAGATGTGCTCCAGTGTCCACGCAGTCATCACCTCAATACAAGTTCTGAGACTGAACACCTTAAGATGATTTGATCAAGATTAAAGACCCCCAAAATAGCTTTAACTAGCTAATGGCTAGTTTAGACACATGTATCTTGGGACCACAATGTCATAGAGACTTGAGGTTGGGCTCTTTTGAGCATTGTGTCAGCAAGTGTTGCATGGAAAAAAGCCACTTACCTTTTCCTCTTCTGGAAATGTCAAAATCTACTCAGCAAATATTACATATTCTTCTTTTACCCACAGTTTGTCCAAACTCTTAAACTCCATTCCTTGCTCTGAATTTATAGATACCATATGTATAATGTGGATGAGAAGAATCCAGGCTTTAATGAAAATAGAGCTTGTTATTACACGGCTCAGATCATCTGCGGACTTGAGCATTTGCACCAGCACAGGATTGTGTACAGAGACCTCAAGCCAGAGAATGTCCTCTTAGATGATGCAGGTAAGAAGCACGCTGAAACACACCTAACTGCTTAACTGCTTAACTGCTTGCCTCCCCACTTCACACTCCACTGTTTCTGAATATTTTTGTTGTTGTTATTTTAGGACATGTGCGTCTCTCTGATCTGGGGTTGGCTGTTGAATTACCACCAGGAAAAGATAAAACACAGGGATATGCTGGGACCCCAGGTCAGAGCCTTTTCATGTCATTTACTCTAAAATAATGTATTTGCTTGCATGAATGAATGAATCATTTATATAGCGCTTTATTGTGTATTGCTGTACACCCAGTGCATTACAATCATATCATGGGATCTCTCCTCAACCATCACCAGTGTGCAGCATCCTCCTGGATGATGCGATGGCAGCCACAGTACAACGGCGCCAGTGTGCTCACCACACACCAGCTATAGGTTGAGAGGAGAGAGAGATAGAACCAATTCAATGGATGGGGGTTATTAGGAGACCATGATTGACAAGGGCCAGTGGAGAGAGTTTGGCCAGGACACCGGGGATACACTCTTTTCGAGATGTGCCATGGCATTTTTAATAACCACAGAGAATCAGGACCTCGGTTTAACATCTCACCCAAAGGATGGTGCTTTTTACAGTATAGTGTCCCCGTCACTATACTGGGGTATTAGGACTCACACAGACCACAGTGTGAGCACCCCCTGCTGATCTCACTAACACCTCTTCCAGCAGCAACCTAGTTTTCCCAGGAGGTCTCCCATCTAGGTACTGACCAAGCTCAACTATGCTTAGCTTCAGTGGGCAACCAATCTTGGGCTACAGGGTGATGTGGGTGTGAATGGAGTGTTCAAACTGAGGGAGAAAAGTGAAGGGCCCCCTCATAACAGTAAAATAATTTAACATTTGAAGTCCCATTCTGAGTTTAAAAAAAGAGGAAATGCTCATTTAATTTATGATTGTCCATACACTTCAATTATTACAATCATATCGGTGTTTACCTTTATGCTGACCAATTGTGTTTACAGTACTTGTCAAAAATTAAAAAATATTATTATTTTTAAATGTTTTCAATGAAGTCTCATGCTCACCAAGGCTGCATTTATTTGACCAAATATATACATGTATATTTCATAAATCATTCTAATATGCTAATTTGCTGCTAATTTATTATTGGTGCTTAGTTATTGATAATCTTTCTTATTATTATCAATGTTACAAAAAGTTTTTGTTGCTTAATACAGTATTTTGTGGAAACATTGTTTCAGTATTTTCTTGATGAATAGAAAGTTCAAAATAACTTTTATTTGAGCATTTATTTTAAATAGAATATTATACTGTATATTTTTACTGTAACTTTTTTATCAATTTAATGTATATTTGTTGAATTAAAGCATCAATTTCTATTGAAAACACACACACACACCCCAAATATTTGAATGGCAGTATATCATGGTTTCTGCATAAATATTAAGTAGCACAACTGTTTTCAACACTGATAATAAGAAATGTTTCTCCAGGAGCAAATCAGCATATTAGAATGATTTCTGAAGGATCACGTGACACTGAAGACTGAAGACTAATGACGCTGAAAAATCAGTTTTTGCATCACAGAAATAAATAACATTTTACAATGTATTGCCATAGAAAACTGTTATTTTAAATTGTAATATTATTTCACAATATGATAGGGTTTTTATTGTATTTTGATCACATAAATGCAGGAAAAATCAGTTTTTGCATCACAGAAATAAATAACATTTTACAATGTATTGCCATTTGCCATTGCCATTTTTAAATTGTAATATTATTTCGCAATATGATAGGGTTTTTATTGTATTTTGATCACATAAATGCATCATTGGTGAGCATAAAAGTCATTTAAAAATCGGACATGCTGAGAGCTCAGAGATGGCCTCCTTGGCCGTGACAGGGCAAACTGTGAGTTCAGAGACAGCCTCTTTAGCCCTGACATGTTCACGTGTGACCACCATGGTCAAAACAGGACAAACAGGAAACTCACAGGCTGGCGCCAACACAGGACTGAGTTCTGGGCGCTCTGGAGCGGACTCATGGACTGGAACCGGCTCTGGAGCAGACTCGTAGTCTGGAGCGGACTCGTGGACTGGCGCAAGCTCTGGAGCAGACTCATGGACTGGAACAGGCTCTGGAGCGGACTCATGGACTAGAGTGCAGTGTGTAGCTCAAACACAAAATATGGCAACCGCCATCATGGGTAGTACAGCTGACGGAGGGAGGACCACTGGGTTGGACAGCACTGAGGCCACATGGTTTGAAAGCGTTGAGGCCACCGGAGTGCCAGCTGATCACACTGACATCACTGGTGGATCCATTACACTGGCCATTAGTAGTGCTCTGGGTTCGGGCCAATTCCAGGCTTGGAGCCCTCCTACCGGACAGCATTCAAAATACGCATATATTATATATTTCGATTTCATGTACGTGTGAACTAGTGAACCAACCAATGACAGAGATGAGCAGAGGAACAAAAACCAAACAGAAGGCAGAACAAAAGACCACATGACAAAACAATAAACCTATGAAAGCATGACACATGAAGGAACAGGGAATCACATGACTAACAGAGCATGACTGTGGCAAAACTACAAAATAAAAGACATGAAAACAGGAACGTACACCAACATCCAAAACCAACCGTAAAACAAAGCAGCTTTACAGTGATAAACAGGAAAATAATGATTCGGTGATCTAGTAAACAGAATTCAATTCTACTGTAAAGCAACTCAATAGTAAAAGACAATAGTAAACAGTCAGTATTCAGTTGAAATCAGTTCAGTGTTGATTCAATTTGGTTCAATAACTGTGTAAAGTTAATAAATTAAGGAATGACTCCAGTTCATCTATAAAGCAGCTCTGGAGAAAACAGTAATGTCATCACCCAGCTCAATTTAGTTCTTATCCAATAGTGTCTGTGCAGTCAAATCAAAGTTTACAACATATTAATGTGTTTATAGGTAGAATTACTTCAAGTTCTAGTAAAGCAGTCGCAGAAACAATTTGTCACGGCTTTGAGGTCAAGTTAATCATGTCAGTTAAATAGTTAACATCCTGTTATACGTACACTCACTGGCACAGTGTTGAAACTTCACTTGATTTATTAAAAAATAAATAAATAAATTGAACCCACTGCATATCAGCTATAGTGCATATGAACACGCGTGCTTGTGCACATATAAATATACTTATGTAAATTACTTCCTATTTTTTTTTTTAAAGAAAATGTGTCACTTATTTATGCAAAATGCTATGCTAATGCAAGAGATTTCTGGGTGGTTGCTAAAGTGTTCTGAGTGTTTTTTTTATCACAATGCTTTGGGATTTCTAGATGGTTGCTTACTGACCCACAAGGTGCTTTGAATAAAAGCAGCTTCTGCCAAACTCATAAATGTATATACAATACGATCATCGGTTTAAGAGACAATTGCCTGTAGGACAGTTCTCTAAGTGGGCAGCTCAGGACACAAGTCAAGTAGCAAGACTAAATCTTAAATTCTAATAAGACCACTAATATGACTGCAGTGTAGGAAGCCATAGGTGCATTGGAGGAGGCAGCACTCGCCATGGGGCATCAGTCAGAAGACTGCGATGAAGGACATAGTAGGACTGAAGAGACCTGAATCAAATAAGAAAATTCACAGCACAGCATATAGTACTATAGTGATGTAATATATGTGTACAGAATGTATGTAGCTGTAAAACTTATTAAAATAGGGCTTCAAAACTGATAAAAAATATATAATTATGCATGGCACAAAGCAGATTAATAACAAGAAATACACAGACTTTCTACATTGAACATCATTCAGTAGACAATTGAAGTAATTAAAATTATATATTCAATGACATTTTAACCATCTGAAACATGAATTAAATATTATTAAGAAAATATTTATATGTGTCTGATGACATATGTGGACAATATTAATGATTCCTTTCATGTTGACCATTTTGAATTTATATTCTCCAAAAAAAATTATTATATATATATATATATATATATATACACTGATCAAAATTATAAACAAAATTATAAAATTATAAAAAATTATGTGCACAAAAGGCCTATTTCTCTCAAATATTGTTCACAAATCTGTTTAAATCTTCTCCTGTGCCGAGATAATCCATCCACCTCATAGGTGTGGCATATCAAGATGCTGATTAGACAGCATGATTATTGCACAGGTGTGCCTTAGGCTGGCCACAATAAAAGGCCACTCTAAAATGTGCAGTTTTATCACACAGCACAATGCCACAGATGTCGCAAGTTTTGAGGGAACTGTGTTTTGCAATTGGCATGCTGACTGCAGGAATGTCCACCAGAGCTGTTGCCCGTGAATTGAATGTTCATTTCTCTACCATAAGCTGTCTCCAAAGGCGTTTCAGAGAATTTGGTAGAATATCCAACCGGCCTCACAACCGCAGACCACGTGTAACCCCAGCAACCCAGGACCTCCACATCCAGCATCTTCACCTCCAAGAATTTCTGCACAAACTGTCAGAAACCGTCAAAGGGAAGATCATCTGCATGCTCGTCGTCCTCATCGGGATCTCGACAGTTCGTCATCGTAACCGACTTGAGTGGGCAAATGCTCACATTTGATGGCGTCTGGCACTTTGGAGAGGTGTTCTCTTCACAGATGAATCCCGGTTTTCACTGTACAGGGCAGATGGCAGACAGCGTGTATGGCGTCGTGTGGGTGAGCGGTTTGCTGATGTCAACGTTGTGGATCGAGTGGCCCATGGTGGAGGTGGGGTTATGGTATGGGCAGGCGTATGTTATGGACAACGAACACAGGTGCATTTTATTGATGGCATTTTGAATGCACAAAGATACCGTGATGATATCCTGAGGCCCATTGTTGTGCCATTCATCAACGACCATCACCTCATGTTGCAGCATGATAATGCATGGCCCCATGTTGCAAGGATCTGTACACAATTCCTGGAAGCTGAAAACAAGATAATGGTTTTCTACGGGAGGTTTAAAAGCACTTCATGAGAGACTTTACGCATTGCGTTCATATTCTGCTGTTCTGTGGCCACGTTTTGCGGGTCTTGTCTTTTTCTCCTACAGATGACTTGCAGGACCCTGTATGTTATAGTACTAAATTAGTTTGAATCATTTAACCACCACAGCGTCTTGTCTCCATTGGCAACACGCAGGATTTGTGTCGATTGCAAGTGACGTCACGGTAGCTGAGAGTGCAAGCGGCGGTTGCAAGTGACTTCGTGATTTAGTTTCTTTTTTCTTGTCTTCACCACCTGGCTACTTGTGTAAAATGTTAAGAGATTCAATAAAAATTTTTTTTTATAAATTAAATAAAATAAAAAACACTGCAAGTGACATCACTCGCGGAAGTGCAGATGTCTGAGAGTGCAAGTGCATGTCTGCAGCCAGACCCTTCTCCAGAGTTTGCTGGTAAGCAATGGCGGCTGCGGCGGCGCCAGTGTCTTCTGTGGCGTTTGAGATTCTTTCACAGAGACACGGAATTAAAATCGCGCCGGTGATGAATTGTTCTGTTGAGGAATGTTGTTTGAGTGCAGTAAAGTTGGTTTTATGTTGGTCATTCGTTAGACATTCGATCTTTACTTAAGCATTAATTTATATGTAATCGCATAATAGTCATGGATCATGCTGTATCTCGTTCAGATCACGTTTAAAAAACATAATATCAAAATTAATAATAATATTATTCGATGATATAATTGTTTTAAACCTCTGAAGTGAAAAGGTCCTCACAACGATCTTGACTTGCGCACGTCAAGTTAGGGAGTGTCTCAAAAGTGCAAAATCCACAATAAACTTGATCAAATATGTACATTATTTCATAAAAACACTAAAACGGCAATCCTTTTACATGTGTAGTTTATGTTGGCAAATAAATTAAGTATAGGTTGAGATGATTTTTAACTTTTAAAGGATTATTATATCTGTTATAAATATGTAAGGAAACTGAATATCTTACTGAAATAAATGTATTTAACTATAAAACTGCACATTTTAGAGTGGCCTTTTATTGTGGCCAACCTAAGGCACACCTGTGCAATAATCATGCTGTCTAATCAGCATCTTGATATGCCACACCTGTGAGGTGGATGGATTGTCTCGGCAAAGGAGAAGTGTTCACTAACACACATTTAGACAGATTTGTGAACAATACTCATTCAAAGCGCCGCATGTCACAAAGGGGCGGTACCAAGGATAAAGCATGCCAAGCAACCAAACACTCCCCCTTTTATAGGCACACAGGCACTAATTGGCTCATGAAACTTACCAAACCATGATAAAGTATGAACACTGATAGGTTTACCTGTTTGGGTAACGCCAGCCAATTATACTGGGTCTATAGCTCACTCTGCTACAAATATTTGAGAGAAATAGGCCTTTTGTGTACATAGAAAAAGTCTTAGATCTTTGAGTTCAACTCATGAAAAATGGGGGCAAAAATAAAAGTGTTGCGTTTATAATTTTGTTCAGTGTATATACAGTATATATGTTAAATTTATGAGAGCACAGGTCAGATGTATTACTCATGGTAGTCTGGATGTAACAATATATGCTAAAAATAGCTTTCAAAAATTGGTGGTGGACAACATCAGAGGTTTAATTGATGTCAAATTTACAAAATTAATCAAAAGTCTAGGAAAAGAAGACAAGGACACATCTATTCTTTATATTTCTGTTCCTGGAAAATAAACAAGAGAAAAACATATTTTTAAGCCAGCATCGCAAAAGGCCCTGGTTAAATGTAAGTAACAGATATATGTCATATATAACAGATGTATGTCTCCTCCACAGGTTTCATGGCTCCAGAACTGCTACAGAAGAAAGAGTATGACTACACTGTAGACTACTTCACTCTTGGGGTCACTCTATATGAGATGGTTGCCGCCAAGGGACCTTTCAGGTGTCGTGGAGAGCAGGTAGACATACACTTTGGCTCTCTGTTAAGGGGCTTTCACACTGACAGTGATTTGCAGTGCCAAATCAGTAGTTATTGATTGTCAATGAGAGAAATCAAATGACAGCAATTTGAAGCATCCTCACTCATCTTTGCTCAACTACATCAGCTCTTTTTCTGTATCACAGGTGGACAACAATGAAGTGACACGGCGCATCCTGAATGACCCAGTCTCATACCCCCCAACCTTCAGCCAAGAGCTTAAAGACCTCTGTGAAGGACTGATGGAGAAAGATCCAGAGAAGAGACTTGGCTTCAAGAACAATGAGTGTGCTGAACTGAAGAACCAGTCCTTCTTTAAAGAGCTCAACTGGGGGAGATTAGAGGCTGGTATGGTCCATTAGAGTTATAGTTAGGGAAGGATATGCATCATAAACTACTTAAACTCCTTAAATGGTATTGAAAAGTTTTTTTCTTTCTTTTTTTTTTTTGCAAATAGCTTTCTTTGAAGTGCCATATATGTAAATATAATGGTATATGAATATGGGATAACACTTAGCTTTACAGTGTCCCTGTTACATGTTACATGTACTTACTGGGCTAATAACAGTAAATTATGGTACTAAACCTAAACCAAACCCTGAGTCTAACCCTAACCCTATAGCAAGTACATGTTGTTATTTATTATTACACAGTACCTAAATATAAAATTACACTGTAATAAGGACATCTTAAAATAAAGTGTAACTGAATTTGGTACTCATAAAGAACAAAGATATGTATAAAAGTATTATCTGATACCATCAGTGCACAATGGTACTCCCCTTTTTTAGGTATTATAATTTTTTGTTTTAAATGTACGTCTGTAAAAATCTTTTCTTTTCTTATTTTGCACAGGTATGCTTCCTCCTCCTTTTGTCCCAGATGCTAAGATGGTCTATGCCAAAGACATTGATGATGTGGGAGCATTCAGCACCATCAAAGGTGTTGTGATTGACAACAAAGACAATGAATTCTACAATGAGTTTGCAACTGGGAACGTACCAATTCCATGGCAGGAGGAGATGATTGAGACAGGTGTGTTTGGGGAGCTTAACGTCTGGGGACAAAATGGAAAACTGCCGAATGATCTGGATCCCAACTATGTAGAAGCAAAAGGAGGGGGATGTGTTCTACTGTGAACTAGAAAAGAAAAAGAAAAAATAAAATAAAAGAAAATGGTGGGCGCACAGGAAATGATTCATGGTGAACAACAAAGGCATGAATTATGTGCTTAGTGTGAAGAAAGATTGTGTAACTCAGAAGGTCTCCATATGTATGTACTGGAATAAATGTTTTTCTTAAATCAATTAATACATAGTAAGCAAATCACCCCAAGTTCTGACATTCTGTAAAAATTATGATTTTTATTTTTAGTTGTTCTGATAGCTGAATTATTGTAATATACATGAAGTAACATTACTCATAATGTTATCTGTGTTTGTCCATTTACAGTTTCATGAGGGAATTTTTGGTCATGGAGGATGTTAGCATAAAAAGAAGAATTAAACCTAGTAAATGGAAAATGAAGGAACTGAAAAAGTAACAGAAATCAGCATACATGTCATAGAGGAAGTGAGATCCTTGTTTGCTTTTATGGTTAAAATATATTTTTCTAGATATTTTAAAAGATATTCTGTTTACTGTTTGTCAACACATTGATTTTTAATACATTTGGTTGTGTAGCAGCCACTCGTTAAGCTTGACTATAACAATAAAATATTTTTATGTAGGAAAGTAGAGTCTTGTGTTTTTATGGTCAGTATGGAATCAGCTGCCTTGCTGAAAAGTTGAACTGGGAGTTTTCAGTTGTTTAAAGCTAAAGCGAGACATGGAAATTCATGCTTTTTTTGTGGTATTCAGTTCTTACAGCAATCTTTGTATAACTCAACAATATGATACAATACAATACAATACAATACAATTCAATACAATACAATACAATACAATACAATACAAATCAATATAATATAATATAATATAATATAATATAATATAATATAATATAATATAATATAATATAATACAATACAAATCAATATAATATAATATAATATAATATAATATAATATAATATAATATAATATAATATAATATATGAATAACATCATCCAAAAACCTCTGCAGGTAACTTCATTATGTGTTACAATGCTTCTAGAAATTTGCTAAATTTATTTAGGATCAAACAGATAATCAAATAATCTTTAAAATCAAAGTAATACTGCATTATCTTATGTCCAGGATCTACAGTATGTCACTAAATATTCAACAGTCCATTTGGTGTGACGACCTACTTCCCTTTTAAGCCATGTGAAAGACCAGAGGACAAGATCCGAAAGGAGAAGTAACCATCATTAGTGACATTTATTAACATCACTCATAACAAATTTGTTCACAAGGATAACACACCGGAGGAGGTAAAATATTCCTTCACATATGGTGTGTGGCTGCTCTGAATGCTCAGTGAAAGGTAAATTAACTTCTTTTATTGTTTTTTTAAATATTGATATGACAACTGAACAGAGAGTGACAACACAGGCTTCACTGACAAAGAAGACACTAAACTGTTGCACAATCAGGGATTTTGCTGCATCGGTTGATGCATTTGGCACATCAGTGCATCCATGTGTCTCTGGATTTTGATCTGTAAATCTTGCTCACTTGGACATGAAAATTATTCTGGAGCATCAAATGATGAATAAGTCAATCTACAACACATCCGGTGGAAAACCTACCATTCCACCAAAACCAAACCTTAATGCTTCACACCAGTCATGCCACTTTGGATCCTCTAGCAGAGTGGCTCATGCATTGCGTAACTTTGAACAAGGAACAGACAAGCAAACGGCAGTAAACTACAACAGCAATGAAAAAAGATACTCTGAAAATATGAGCCAAGGTGAAACGTCTGTGGTAGTCGGAGCTAGATTGTCATGTCCACCCAAGACAAAGGACCGAGTAGAGGATATATCTTCATTTTCAAGACTTACGAAAAGTGGACGGATGCTGGGGGAAAGAAATCTTCAACTGGCAATAGATGGTGTGGATGTGGGTCGATCAGGTAGCGAACATTTTGAAATCTGTCTCTAATATGTGTGTGCTTTATATGCCTAAATATGAAATGATGCTGAAAACAGTGGTTCTCAGTGATTGTTTTACTTTGTGTTTGCTATTACTTGATGTAGGTTTATGTGATGTAGATATCACATGATGGAGGTTTAGAGTCCATATAACACCAACATAAATACAAGGGGTACAGGAGTTGTTTGTAAAACATTTTTAGATTTTTTAAATATTTTTATTTTCTTTATTTTGAAAACCTTGTATTTGTCAGTGACCCAAATTCAGGTTAACTTGTAAGCAGGATAGACATGTTATGTGCACTGAATTGGCTGCTGAGAGCATGAAACCATTGAAATTCAAGTGAAATTTAAATTTTGTTTGCTCTTGTACAACATAATATTTTTGTTGGGTTGCAGCTTGATGTCCGATGTTAAATGTGGGTCTTCAAGTGAAATCAATTAAGGACCACTGGCTTTGAGCATTGTACAGTAGAAGGCAACTGATCACAAACCCCTGCTCCTTTCCATGGCCAGTTATTAAATATTTTGGCTAATCTGATTATGTTCTCACCTACAAAAAAGGATGTAGAACTCTCAGCTCATTTTATACCATTTTACCAGCACAAAAAATGAAATGTGGGGAGAAAAAAGTAGATTCTGTCTGGGCCTGTTGATAAGCTTAATAAAGCACTTGACTACCCTTCTTTCCCTCAGCTCCTGATGGCAGTGAGGTGAATAATGTGAGTGGCACCACAGAGAATCATCAGGGCTCAACTGCACCACCTACCCACTCAGAGGAGAAACACTGTCATTGCCTCTGCCATCTTCAAAGGCCTGGTATGAAACTAGTCTGGGTACCTCTACACGAGGAGAAAAATGACATGGATACTGTGATTGAAAAGAATCACAAACATCTAAACAGAGGAAGTCAGAGAAATAAGGATGTTTTACACCTAACCAGCAATAAAGACAATTCGCTGCAGAACAGCCCATCTCCCAATTCAAAACCCCAAGCGTTGCCTCCATGTATAAATTGCCAAAGCTTTCTACTTCACCACAGCCCTCACAAATTAGCAGGGAATGGATTTGCATATGCAGATGAGTCAGTTCCAAACCACTCAAAACCCCCTTTACCACCAAGGACTTATCAGTCATCTGAGTATAAAAATACCCAACAGTATGCACAGCTGGAGCACACCGATGCTCAAATATATTTGGATGTTTTGCCATCAAATGACAATAAAGTGACCCCTCCAGCTGTCCCTCCTCGACCTCCCCCACGACTTCCTCTACATCCTCCGTCCCACCGAAAGATAAAGAAACGGTCTTCCCAGCCAGCGCTGGCATGTGTAGTCTCTCTTCGAGGCGGCGGTCCACCAATCAGAAACACCAGCAGCCGTGAGAATGGAAAATTGTCTCACCGCATATCTATGCCAAACCCATCAGGTGAGTGCAGAAAAATGTCCAAATATTGCTTTTTACTAAAGCACAGCACACAAAGCAGTTTCATTAGAGAGAAAAAAAAATTGTGCATGACTGTATATTTTAACTATGCACTTTTTAAGAAGTGGCCAAGATTTTGCCAAGCATGACATATTGTGTTGATCCTAACAACTTTCTTGTCAAATAAACATAGTCTCAAATGTCGAATAAACATAGCCCTAAACCCAAACATTAAGTATTGTAACATTGTCTAAGCCCCTAACCTCAGACCTAATCCTGACCCTACCCTAATGTTGATCCAGGAACATGTCCTACTTACCAAAATCATTTTGGGCATCAAGGAATTCTATCAGTTATTTAGTTTTTTTTATTTTTTTTTTATATCTGTTTTGAAATGCTTTATTCAGAACTTAAAATGAAACACATATGTCTAGATTTCTGAAAAGCTTCATGATTGTTTTCTAGGTAAAAGCTATGAAAAGGATAATTTTGAAGACTGGGAGTCTATTGACACGGAAGCGTAAGTTTACAGCATCAGTAAGTTGTTCTCAAAAAGTGTGCAAATTATGCAATGATTTTTAGAGGGGTCAAAGAATTTCTATCATTAATTTCAGGGAGTAGGTTTTGTGTTGCTCCTGGTTTCTTAAAGACATTGTAAGAAAAACACTAAAGGTTTTTGTGTAACACTTTACAATAAGGTTCCATTTGTTAATGTTAGTTAATGTATTGACTAACATGAACGAACAATGAGCAATATATTTATTACGGTATTTATCAATCTTTGTTAATGTTAGTTAATGAAAGTACAGTTGTTCATTGTTAGTTCATGTTAATTCACAATGCATTAACTAATGTTAATAAGCACAACTTAATGTATTAGTAAATGTTGAAATTAACATTAACTACAATTAATAAATGCTGTAGAAGTATTGTTCATTCTTAGTTCATGTTAACTAAAGTAGTTAACTAATGTTAACTAATGAACCTTTGGTTACACTTTATTTTAAGGTGTCCTTGTTACAGTGTAATTATACACATAAGAACTGAGTAATATTAATTAACTACATTAACGTTAGGGTTAGGATTTGGGTTTGGCTTAGGGTTACTTGCATGTAATTATGCATAATTACATGCAAGTAACCCTAAGCCAAACCCAAATCCTAACCCTAACGTTAATGTAGTTAATTAATATTACTCAGTTCTTATGTGTATAATTACACTGTAACAAGGACACCTTAAAATAAAGTGTTACCAAACCTTATTGTGAAGAGTTACCGGTTTTTGATTGTGTGCAAATCTGTAATGAAATGATTACTTATCTTTAGTTGATGTAGTCAAATACAGCTTTCCTAATGGGAAGTGAAACAGCCTGTAGTTAGTTACCTCCTCACGTGATCGAGACTTTCATTTGTGACCGTCGTTTTAGTGCACTTTACAAACTAACTTTTGTGGTTACTTAAATGTGTTAAAATGTACTTAAATGTAATGAATGCATACTTTTATGAC